GGCGAAATGGGGTCTTGCGCACCCAACGCGCACGACCGCCCACACCGCAATGACGTCATTTTTGCCGCGCGCACTTCGCGCTCTTGCGGACGCGTCGAGTATAAACAAGGCTTCAGGCGGTGAGAGGAGTGTAAGCATAATCTTACGCCAACATATACGCCCGTTTCTACGCAAGAATGATAAATGAGGGCCATTGTGAATTAATTTAATAAAGTTAGTTACCTACCTTTCCTAGTAGCTTTCAGTAAATGAACGTGTCTAAGAAAATTATTCATCATCATGTTTACTCTCTCCACTGACAGACTGAGACTGCTCATTGACATGGTTTTTAAAGCTGTTGTTATCCAATTTTTTGGCCTTCAAAACATCGTAAAATGCACATATGTAGATCAGAGAAATCAAAAATCCTCGAACCACCTCACATTCGGGACCCTTGATTATGAAACCCTGCCATATGCATGTTAATAAAACTAGTTAATAGTGAGCATTAGATTCTAAACTAAAGTGTTAATTTTTTATCAGACTATGTTTAGCCTACATTGAAATAGATGGTTCCAAAGCTAACACATATTTTAATTTAGTTTGTGTAACTTACACTGTTTGTAACCATGACTGACGTTTATTTTGAGTCTGTGAAATAGGCAAAAAACATTGGATGTTAAAAAAAAGCATACTTTTGTTTACCTTAGCGGACCACCAAAGAACATCTTTCGAATCCTCTGTAGTAACTTTACAAAAGTGTGAAGGACTTATTCGGTTATTTGAATCAGTATGCATGTCGGCTCGTTGGTCTAGGGGTATGATTCTCGCTTAGGGTGCGAGAGGTCCCGGGTTCAAATCCCGGACGAGCCCTACTTTTTCTTCTTATTTTGACGACACGGTCCAGTCAGTCCCAGTATTGAAATGTGGACTCTTTCTCTGACTTTTCTAAAAAAAAAAAAAAAAAAAAAAAAAAAAAAAATGTTGCAACGAGATTTAATAAGAAGCTGACGTCCATTTTAGACTTTTTAAATAATTTGTATTGTAAATTTTATGTTTCCTTGGTATGAGCCACTTGTTCTGTTCCATTCCTTTCCGTTTCGTAGATTAAAAAAAAAAAAAAAACATTGACCCCGACGTGATTTGAACACGCAACCTTCTGATCTGGAGTCAGACGCGCTACCGTTGCGCCACGAGGTCTGTAACTTAATTTTGGTCTTAATCACAATATATTTTTTATATTTATATTTAGGGTGTACATATAATAATTATAATACATAATAATTCCAGGTTGCTATTGGTCGCGCAGATTGTTTACGCATTTAACTCGTTCCCTCAACATATGAAGTCGTGGCCACGAAATAAGGATGTCGTTACCTCGAAAAAAATATCTCGTGGACACGATTTATTATCACGTTCCCACGAGTTTATATGTCGTTGTCACGACAAAACTACGGTAAGTGAACCGAATGTCCCCTCCCGGTCACTGTAATTTACGCTAGTCGACATTTACAATGTCCCTATGAACAAAAAAAGTATAGGAACTTGATTTGAATATGGCCGGTTAGCTCAGTTGGTTAGAGCGTGGTGCTAATAACGCCAAGGTCGCGGGTTCGATCCCCGTACTGGCCACGTGTATTTTCTTACTTTTCAAATGTTTTTTCACTTATATTCTTTTAAATAGTCAATAATCAAAATGGTCATTAATCAATAATACAGGTCATTACTAAAGAGCGAAAAAGACGTCAAAATGAGCAATGTAAAATGACTGAATACATTTATTTAAAAAACTGTTTTTTTATGTGAAACTGATACATTAATTCAAAATGTCTTACGTAATATAAATTAAATGGCGGAGAGCTAATTATTGCTGCTTGTTGGTTCACTTTTTATATTTTGGGATTTGTATAGTAAATAAATCTGAAGATCTTTCAACCTGTGCTAAGAAAGTGTTCTGCAGCAGACTCTGGCCCCTGTTTACCAGGATCACTCTGTGATGTGATCACTCACACTGCCTGACCTGCAGCAACTGTCAGGCATGTCATGCTGCACTTGCTCTTGCTCTTTTCTCTTTATCTTAGTGCTTTGTGTGCTGGTCAGTCCTGTGTTTCAGATAGACATCCCACCCTTAGGCAGACTGAGAAGTAGAGGGAGATAAGGATAAAAACAGAATGCACACACACTCACTCACTCTTTTTTCATGAACAAGCCCTATTCTCTTTTTCAAAGATTTAAAAGGCTTTATGGGCTCTTTTGGAGGCCCTGACAGTCTGATGCCTCTTTCCCAATCCATAATTTAGTCAGGACTAAATTATGGTATACGGTATACCATAATTTAGTCCTGACTAAATTATGGATTGGGAAAGAGGCATCAGACTGTCAGGGCCTCCAAAAGAGCATCAGGTCGTGAGGCAGGGACTGTGAAAAGAAGCTGAACAACGGGACCCTTGTCACATACAGTGCATGTGAGCTGATCACTACAGGGCCCCCAGTTTCTATTTATAGTCATGTAATCAAACCACTTGTCTCTTCAATAAATAAGGATAAGGGTTGACCAGTAGACCTCAAAATTATTATTATTATTAGAAAGGCTTTTAAAGTTAATAATATAAATGGTGATTTAGGCATATTTATATTACAAAATAATCTAACATACATGTTTAATGCAAAATGCATTTCTTGTGCACCACTGATGTAACACATTCTAAATTCAAGAGCTACTGAATATACAACTGCATCCTATATGAAACTGATATCTTTATCTTTTATATGTCTATGATCATTGATTATATGAGATTTTATTACTGTTGTTATTATTAATGACATTTTATTTATGCAACATTGTTTTATGATCTAAATGGTCAGAATTTATTTTCATTTTTGTTTAGGGCTATATCTAAAGGTCACACCAAGGATGATAACTATAAGGATAAATGCTTCTAAAAATCTTTCTAAATATAAAAGAATAGCAGATTCCACACAAATAGGCCTATAATGATAACAGCACAGAGGAATATCATTGGACTCACTCTCAGAATGATTCATTCCAGCTGATGAAAGATAAAAACATTGACAGCCAATCAGAATAAGAGCTCAAGCATTTAAAGTGACAGAGGACAAACTGCAGAGCGCTCCAAATAATAAATTGGGCTGTGCTAAGTTGCGCTAACTATGATGCTTTTGAGAAAAACACAGCACAGAATGTTATTGTCCACTGGTGTGGACGCCAATATTATCATTAGTTATCTTGTATTGTTCTTAGGCTGAACGGGCCTTAACTGTTAAAGGTGCAAAAAGTGATTTCTGAGAAACACTGTTCATATTTAAAATCAACCCAAACAAACGCATCCCTCCCTTGATTGCTCCATCCCCAAAATACACGAACACAGTGTATGTCTCTCTATCTTTGCTGAAGCAAAAAAAAAAAACCTTCATTAAAAATAAAGTGAAGATGATACACAAACGAAAATTAACACACAAGTATACACAAGCAAGAGTTCATTGTTAGTTGCCAGCAGCACACACTCAAAACCAATGTTATGGAGCAGAAATAACGTAACCTCTGTGTCCGTTTTCAGGCCTTCCCGCTTCAGTCTCTCCAGCACTGGAAAGCTTTTCTAATATTAAAACGGGTCCTAAAGTTATTGCCTAATCATATCCCTTCTTTTTTTTAGTTATATTCCTCTGAGCTTTTCTCTTTTGTAATGTCACTCAGCCATCTCTCTTTCTACAGTCTTTCTTCAAATATCCCTCTTGCTCACACTCTCTCCTCCCCCATCATGAGTGGACACGCCCCCTACGTCTGATTGGCTCACTCTCTCTCCTCCTCCATCATGAGTGGACACGCCCCCTACTGCTGATTTGCTACAAGTGTGTTGTGCTGCTCGATCGGATCCACTTTCAACATCGTTCTCAGAAATCGCTTACTGTACCTTTAAGACACTTGCTTTCTTTTTCAGAATGAATGGTTGTAAAAGTTGAGTAATTTACAAGTGGCTTCACCGGAATATCATTGTTTCCTGTTGAACTCAGTTGTGCAATGCTTGTGCGCTCTTTTTAAAGAACAGTTGATGCCATTACTTGACCCATTTTAAAAAAAATCGATTTGAACATATAAAGACGTTAATTTATGTACTAAATCTCTAATTTTAAAATCTATTGGCTATTGACCTCTATATATTAGTTTGTTTAACTTTGTGCAAAGTGTGTCACTGTCAACACAGGTCGCCCTTTTAGTCTTCAAAGACTCGATCTTCACAAACCCGTTTGTCTGTCTCTATGACAAGGCGTGCTCTCGCTCTCTCTCTCTCTCTCTCTCTCTCTCTCTCTCTCTCTCTCTCTCTCTCTCTCTCTCTCTCTCTCTCTCTCTCTCTCTCTCTCTCTCTCTCACACACACAGAGAAATTCTCTCCCTGAGTGAGTGTGTCAAGGTCACACATGTGTAAGTGGCTTCTGGAAGAATTTTACTGTCTATAGGCCTACACTTACACATGCTCACAGTTGACAGGTTCGCCATGGAACAGGTGTTCCATATTCTATTACTAGAACACAAATGCATCTATAGGCCTAAATAGGAATATGTTTTTGTCTTCGTTAAATGAGTGCGTACTTCCTTAATGACTGTAACTTGTTTTTCATGTGCAGCAAGAACATGGAAGAGTGTCGCGACATTTAGAGCAGGCTAGACTGGATCTTCACAGGACGCAATTGTTTTACAATAACTCTAGACATGATGAAAGCAAAGTAGGACTTCCTTGTCACTTCTTTAATCCTAACATAACATCGGGAGGCAATTGGTGTAAACCCGTCCAGATGAGACGTGATCCGCAGGTCTATTGCCTGACGCTGCTGTCAATCCCGTTCGGGGCGGTGATGTTCAGCCTACCGGAGCGCGCGAGTTGCAGAAGCGCACGTCCGACACCGGAGGAGAAGTTGAGCGGCGGAGCCTTTATCCTCTCCAGCTTGCTTTGCATTGCTCTTACTTCAACCAGGAATTAAAGGCATTACTCTGTTCGCAAAGACATCCGTGAAATAATGACGGACAGTAGAAAGTTCATCGAAAACCTCTCTGGAGCAGGGAAGTCCATCGGCGTCTTGACAAGCGGTGGAGATGCTCAAGGTATTTCTTTTCTTTAACAACCCGAATAGGATGTCAAGGGTGCTTGTTTGGTCGACATCACAGCGGCAGATTGACTTGTTTGCATCTATGATCATCTAGGCAAAACAGAACCAGTGCAACAGATGATAGCCTAAAAAGGCGCGGCAGTTCCGGGCTTTAAAATGAGGCTAAAATTACTTTATCAATACTTTTATAGCGATTGCGAAGTATGTTTTCAGTCGTTAATTAGCCTACTAACCCCCCCCCCCCCCCCACCCCCTTTTTTTGTTTAATATGAAGGAATATGTTTATAAATAAATTGAATAATTTAGGGTTAAACACATAGTTTAGCCTATAGATAATTGAATTAAAATAATGAACTTGCATCGCTGATGACAGCTCGAGCGTCATGACAACGCGTAACTGCTCGTGCGACTTTCAACGCAACTGGAATAAAATATTTATAACACAGCATTTTAGTAGATTATGCTGACATTGGCTTTGCTATACAGTTAGCCTAAATCATGAATGAAGGACAATTCATTAAAATGATTTCATATGCCTATCTTTTGCTTTTTGTCCGTCTATGTGTTTCCTGTCCATCTTTGTGCGCATCGCGCGTAATCTTTGTTATGTGTCATCATAATACATTTATAATGGTGAAGAATGAGTGCGCGTCTACGTGATGGCAGGCAAGTATTAGAGCGAGACTTCCATGATTCCGTGATCACGTGGGAAAAAACCGACGGCATCCCAAGCATGAGTGCGCGCGTGTTAAAACAAGCCTCGGATAATCATTTCCGTTCAATGCATGCATGCTCTCTATAAAGCGAATCTCCCTGTCGGTCGTTTATTGTTTTGAGCATGTTTAAGAGAGAACTAAAGAGGCCACGAAGCGTTGTTTTGCTCTGTGATGCAATGTCTGACTCCATTTATCAGCTACATCTCAGTGAGAAGACACAATTGTATTCTCCACAGAAACATCGTCTGTTTGTTTACTATTGAATGCGCGTGCACATTTCCTGCACCAGCCTAAAACAATAGTTTTATATTTACAGTATATACAAGAATTAATTGTATAATGGGAGTTCGTAGGAAAAGTATTTAAAGTACTGCTTTAATTGCACTGCTACTCCTAGAGTTTCCACTTGTGACCCTTTTTACCTTGGTTCATATAGTGATGGCACTATGTTTCCTAGCAACGGTTTCCTGGCTGCAGCCCTCCCATCACTATGGGTTAGGCTGGACATGGCCTCAGGGGAATAGATGCTTAATTTAACTTGTCAGGTCACAGCACTATAGGGAACACACTGAGCCGAGCCTCCACCTTTCATCCCTCTATTTGTGCCACAAATGGTCTGGAGATCTTTGTTGATGGTTTAAAATGACCGTTTTGATTTATCAGAATATGTGAATGACCAGTCTGTATTTCTTCATGTAGGTATGAATGCCGCTGTGAGGGCAGTGGTCAGAATGGGAATCTACGTAGGAGCAAAAGTTTATTTCGTCCATGAGGTGATTTGTCTTTTGATTCCCAAAATCTAAACTTCTATGAAGGTGAAAACAGGTGAAACTCGAAAGATTAGAATATGGTGCAAAAGTTCATTTATTTCAGTAATTCAGCAGATATGAAAACTTTTTCACAATATTCTAATTTTGAATTTGGGGTATTGTAAGCCATAATCATCAAAATTATAACAAATAAAGGCTTGAAATATCTCACTTTGCATGTAATGAGTCTATATAATATATTCGTTTCACCTTTTAAGTTGAATTAAATAAATGAACTTATGCACCATATTCTAATTTTTCGAGTTTCACTATATTCCTATGTATATTCCTGTATTCTCTGTGAAATTTATATAGGACATTAACTGTTTAAAGACGACATGAAACGGAAGTTGAGATAGTCTTTACTTCCCTACTGTGACGTATATCTGAGTGAAACGGTGTCGTGACAAATCGGGTCCTCCCTTGAAATCGATTCTCTATCAGCAGTTAAAGCCAATGGGATCGCTTGGGGTCCTAACAGAGACACGATTTCGAGGGAGAACCTGATTTGTCACTGCAGGCCTTTCAAACAAGAAAAAATGTAGGGCGGGACTTGATTTTGTCCATAGGGAATTGATTGGATCGTTGCATGGTTGTGGTTTTCTTTTGGTCAATCTCATGTGAGTGACAGGTTGTCCCGCCCTCGCGCCAGTAAACACACTAGAGAAGAGAAGAGATGTTGCTACAAGAGGGAAGTTATTTTGATTAAAGATTACGAGGCCATATGAATATAAAAAAAATATGTGCATGAATAAATCATTTAGAATAAACTCTACAATGTTCCATTAATAAAGCTGTCCATTTTGATTTCATGGTGACTTTTGCTATGCTACGATGTAGTGGTTAAGGCTGAGGACGGGTAGCCAGAAGGGTGCACTATGTGCCCCCGATCTAGACACTAATAACCCTATGTAACCCCCTGTAGTCATTTCATGTTGGCATCTATGACCTTTGCTGTGGAGTGATAAATAAAGATTCTAGGATTCCAGCAAGCAGCATTGTTTATGTGGATCACAAAGGACATACATGAAAGCTTGTCACAGATAAAAGGTGATGTCCATAAATAAATGTTTTTTTTTCCTCAGGGCTACCAGGGCATGGTGGATGGAGGGGACAACATCAAAGAGGCATCATGGGAAAGTGTTTCCAGTATGTTACAAGTGGTAAGCAAACTTCCATATTATATTAAAAGCTAAAAAACACACAAAATTGAGCAAGCACACAAAAATAGAGAAGATACAGTGCAGGGGTGTTGCGTAGAGCTACACAAATATTGTTTTTATTTATTTTTTACAATGAATTATTCAGAAGGGAGAAACAGCGCATCACTGTTTTTAATGTCGCATTATATTGTCCATGGACCCTTGCAATCTAGCAAGATGAGTAAATAATTTACATTTATTTATTTAGCATATGCTTTTATTTAAAGCAACTCACAAATGAGATCCATCAATATTTGCGGAAATGTCTAGATTATGTTAGATTTGCATACAAGCTAAAGCAACACTTAAATGCTGAAATGTAGAGGAAGAGATAGCTATATATTATAAAGAATGGAGATATATATTATATAGTATTATATAATATTTGTTTATATATATATATTTTTTAAATATTTAATATTATAATTAAAAATAATTAATAATTATATAATAATTAATATAATTATATACTAATTAATATTATTATATTCTATGTAAAACATACATTCAATACATGTATATTTGTTATAATATACTGTATATACATTATTATATACAGTATGTTATATAATGTTATATGTATATGTTATGTAATGTAAAACATTTTCTGTCCCGATTTTCTGTAGCAACACCATTACCTCCCAGTTCTAATGTGATGGATGATCCATAAGTAATATTATCTGTGATTTTCATGTGACAAGACTACAGTGTAGCCTATTTTCTTAATGTCACTGTATGTGTGCAGGGTGGCACTGTGATTGGCAGCGCCCGTTGTAAGGATTTTCGTACCCACGAGGGACGTTTGCGTGCTGCTCTAAACCTGGTGCAGCGTGGCATCACTAACTTGTGTGTGATTGGTGGAGATGGCAGTTTGACCGGAGCTAATCTCTTCAGGGAGGAGTGGAGCGGACTGTTGGATGAGCTTGTCCAGTCAGGTAGCAGAGTAGGAGGGGCTTATACGTGGGATGAAGATTTGTCATTTCTAACGGTATTGAATAACATAAAACCTGTATATTTTTCTATGTATCTATGATTTGTTTCTCTCTCCCAGGTCAAATCACTGAAGAGGCTTCCCAAACTCATTCTACGTTGCATATTGTTGGGATGGTTGGCTCGATTGACAATGATTTCTGTGGGACAGATATGACCATTGGCACTGACTCAGCACTGCACAGGATCATAGAAGTGGTGGACGCCATAATGACCACCGCACAAAGGTATATGCTAACAGTTACAAAAAAAATCCGTTATTCCAATCAATTTCAATTTGTAAACATTTTTGTTGCCCAACAGCAGGGCATGGCATGACGCCAGCCAGGGCCGGATTTACCTCATATTTTGACATGGGCAAAATACATTTTTGGGCCCCCCAATACCCCTCACCCTGACCCCGGTAGCTTACACACATACTAAACTGTATATCGTCGCCGTTGGGCGGAAACCTCATGCAAAATCGATACTATCAATAAATGGGAAAAAAACATTGTAAGTTCATCAAAGTTCATATTGTGGCTTATCAGAAATGTGTCACTATATTATTAACATTCTACCACAATCAAGCTCAAATGGAGTTATGAGGTTTTTGACCAGTGGATGTCAGACATACATGTTTTGTCCATCATTAGAACGGCTGCATCTGAGGCAGCAAGTGCTTTGCGTTACGTTTTCATCAACTTACAAGTTTTAAAGATTACTCCTCAAATACATAAAACCTTAGCCTTTATACATGTAGTGTTTCTTGAATAGAAAACACTACAAAAGAAAATGCTGTACTTAAACAAACAGTTTATTTAGTTTAGTTTATTTACCTTTTTGCATTGCAAACAAGCAAAGACGGTCCAAATTTGGCACTTCATTCAGAGGCAGGTTTGAATGACAGTTTAAGGATCCAATGAAGTTGCTAGGTTAAGTAACAAGCTCTTTTTAATACATTTCATTGGTTAAATATTTGCAAAACCCACAGATATACGTAAAGTGTGACCAATTGTAATGAATGGATTTTTTTATTTTATTATGAAATATGGCGATACGAGTTGTCTGAACGATATGTGTTAAAGTGTTTTACCATTAGAGTGAAATAATAATAATAAATCATTATTTCTCCTTATTGTAATTGTCCCCCCACCCCCCAAGGACGTGCGAGCATAGGCACGCACATGCCTAGAATGTCTATGCCTTAAATCCGGCCCTGGCGCTAGCAATGCCAAGGTCATGGGTTTGATTCCCATGCATGAACTGATGAAATATATACCTTCGATACTAGTCACAGTGTCTGCCAAATGCATAAATGTAAATTTGGATTTTGAATATCAAATACATTAGACATTATTTGTAACACTTTAAGCCTCTAATTAAAGATAAATCAAAGTTTTCTTTTTTTATTTTGTGTGTCTTTTAGCCATCAGAGGACCTTTGTGCTGGAGGTCATGGGTAGACACTGCGGGTAAGACCATAGACTTGAAACACCCAAACTGAAACATGCGTTTATAATCAGCATTAAACCATGTGTGTATGTGTGTTAGGTATCTAGCATTAGTCAGTGCTCTTGCGTGTGGAGCTGACTGGGTGTTGATTCCAGAAATGCCTCCCAAAGATGGCTGGGAGGAACAGATGTGTCACAAACTATCAGAGGTAACACTCCATACACATAAACATGCACACAGTAACATACAGCCAGCCACACTCAAACCAACTAAAGCAGAGCGACTACTAACCTAACTACGTTGTTCAGTAGCGTAAGTGGCTAACAAGCTACCTTTTACAGCAGTTGCAGTGTAGGCTGACCAAACATTACATCACTGTTTTTCGATGTTGCATTATATTGTGCATGGAGCTTTGCAATCGAGCAAGCTGAGGAAGTCATTTACATTTATTCATTCAGCAAGTGCTTTTATTCAAAGCGGCTTACAAATGAGGAACATCACAGGCAATTTGTCATCAGAGCCAACAATAATTTCAAGTGTGAGGCAGATTATCACACAAGCTAGAGCTAAAGTGAAATGCAGAAATGTAGAGAAAAAGAGAACTATATATTATATTGAATGAAAATAATTATATTAGAGATAATAATATGAGAATGAGTATATATTATATATTATTTTTTATGTATCCTTTTAAAAATATAAATGTTTAAATAAATGATTTGAATGTATTCTTTAAATGTAATAAATAATTATTATTATATATATATATTACCATTAGAATAAATGTTAGACACATTTATATCATACATGCAGCTTTTATTATCTAATATTAATTGAGTAACACTGAATCCATTGAATCATCACTCAGCTGTGTTCCTGGAACTCTTTTTTATTGTTTTACATTGTCTTTTTGTAGAAAGAAGAAATGTGTAATTAAATACTGTAATAAATAAATGAGTGTTTTTCTTATTAGTTAAGTATAAAAAATGTGTATCAATAGATTAAGTTTGATGCTGTCACTAATTGATCTATTGTTTTTGTGCCAGAAAAAAACGTCTCTTTTTTTAACTGAATCATATAATCTTAACTGATATTTAGATGATTTAATAGCGTATAGCTTTAATGTACTTAGCCATTTGTTTTAGTAGCTTGTAGTGTAGCAAGCCACTTTTTCTAAAGAATAACTTGACAATACTAGCCTGTGGTTTAGCTTGCTACAGTTTCCCAAGCAGCTGAACACATTCACACAAACACACACACACACACACACACACACACACACACACACACACACACACACGCACGCACACACACACACACACACACACACAGCTTGTTTCAGTGCTCCAGTCTTTGTCCTGCAGAGCCGTTTGCGAGGTTCTCGTCTTAATATAATCATAGTGGCTGAGGGAGCCACAGACAGAAATGGAAACCCCATCAGCTCTAATGAAGTGAAGGACGTGAGTATCTGCCCCCTCGTCTCACCAGCGTGTATGTATGTATGGATGTGTGTGTGCGTGCTTTTTTTCCCTTGTAGAATCGTGCTGATAAGAAACGGCTTAATATCATCATAGTAGCTGAAGGTGCAATAGACCATAACAACAAGCCCATAACCACAGACCTTATAAAGGACGTGAGTAATGCACAGCTACAGCACACTTATGAGCCTATAAATGACAGCTTTCCTTCTCTTACACTTAATGAACAAAATACTTCAGAATTGATTTATTTTTTACTTTCTATGTCCTCATTTTGTTGCTGAAGTAATAACATATGCATGTTTTGGATTTGAGTTTTGTCTTTTTGTGTAAGTATATCAACTGTGTGTGTTTCCATGTGATACTGCTCTTCATTTAGTACACTGATTGTAACAGTTTTGATCTGTGTGTTACTTACTTCTATGCCTTTAAGTCACACACATTTCTCTCACATCATGCATGTCTGTGGTTATGTTTGCTGCGCTTGCCTTCAGAATAAACCCCTTAGAACAATAGAAATATTGCTTTGTTCATGCATGCATGTTTTAAATTCATGGTGGAGTTTTGAGCTTGGTTTCCAAGTTCAGTCTGACATCAATAATAAATCCATCTACACTACCGTTCAAAAGATATATTTTTCAATTAATGAATGCTTTTAATCAACAAGGATGCATTAAATTGATCACATGTGAAAAAACACTCTTTCACTCTTTTGCTGTTCTTTCAAGAATCCCCCAAAAAAATCCACAAAAAAATTAAGCAGCACAAACATATTAAGTTTTCAATATTAATAATAATGATAAGTAATCAGCAAAAAAAAAGCAAATCAGCATATTAGAATGGTTTCTGAAGGATCATGTGACTCTGACGACTGGAGTAATGATGCTGAAAATACAGCTTTGCATCACAGGAATAAATTACATTTTAAAATATATTAAGTCAGAAGACTTATTTGAAATGTTATTAATATTTCACAATATTTTTGATACACTAAATGGTAATCATAAGAGACTTACAGTAAGTTCAAAAACAAACAAAAAAAAATCTTTTGAACAGTAGTCTTCATGATCTTGCCGGATCTGTTTGAGAAGCATCTGTATTTGAGTTGAAGTGAATATTGTGTTGACTCTCTATTGCAGCTGGTTGTGCGCTGTTTGGGGTTTGACACGCGGGTCACCATTCTGGGTCACGTCCAGAGAGGAGGAACACCCTCTGCCTTTGACCGCATTTTGGTATGGTCCTGACTGTATTTTATTGAATTAGACAAAACACACTTTAGCATGTTGTATTTACTCTCTATCACACAGCTCTCTATCTCTCCTCTCTTCCTCTGTAGGCGAGTCGTATGGGAGTGGAAGCCGTGTTGGCCCTGTTAGAAGCGTCTCCTGGTACTCCAGCGTGTGTGGTGTCTCTGTGTGGGAACCAGGCTGTCAGGGTGCCTCTGATGGAGTGTGTTCAGATGGTGAGAAAAGAAACTTAACTAATGACAGAGCTTTGGGTTTTAAAGTTTATGGTAACGTTTATTAAACCTGGGAGCTTTGGTCTATTAGTTAGTGCAAGTTCCTGTTTCCTGTCGTCTTTCCACATCCGTATCAGTAAAATAGGTTAGATTTAATTGCATTTTTATGTATGAGAAATCATTTTTTAAAAAGGTTTTTAACAGAGTTATACTTTTTATTGCTGCATATAGACAACGTGGTCCATATAAACTCTATTAACAGCCAATCCTGAATCTCAGTTTAGGTCAATCAAAATAGTATTTGCTTGTAGTTTGATGCTCTGTTTGGGAGTTTTGGAGTTGTCAGTTTGATAGTTTGTCATACTACAGACACAGGAGGTCCAGAAGGCCATGGATGAAAAGAGATTTGCAGAAGCCGTAAAGCTGCGTGGCAGGTAAAACACAAATATCATAATTTTACTCTACAGAGCAGATGTCAATGGTAAAAATATTCATATCCATTTATGTACTTTTATCACAACAGGAAATGTCTGACTTGCTTTTAGATCCTTTTTCTCTTTTTTGTATTTTAGAAGTTTTGAAAACAACCTGAATACCTACAAACTCTTGTCTCACCACAAAATTGATACTGAACTTCCAAATGTAAGTCAGTCATAATGCGAACAAGACGTAATGTATATTTTGTACAACATGTTTGGTCTGATTTAGCCACTGTCTGTGATGCTGAAAGCTCTATATGTTTATTTATTTTCCTTTGGGATGCAGGAAGGCCATTTTCATGTATGTACTGTACAAGAAATATAGAATAGAATAGAATATAGAATACTCAATGCATTGTCTCCTGATTAGGTTTCTGAACTTTTCCATTTATTTTAAGTCTAAAATACACTATATGCAGGGGTGCACATAACTGGTGCGCATGCGTGGTAAAAATAAACGATGCACAGCAGAAAACGTGGAGGGAAGCGCTTTTGAGTACCAACATTTTGGGCATTTCTGGGGACAGGGACACGTTTACTTACTGGAGTAGGATTTTTCTCCATCTCTGGTCAGCAATCATGACGATCCGTGAGTTGATCCGTGATCCGTACAGACCAGGGGCCTCATTTATAAAACTTTGCGTAGGATTTGCGTCAGAAGTGGCGTACGGATGAAACATAGGACGTGCGTACGCACAGAAATATTCGGATTTATAAAACCGTGCGCACGCACATCCTACGCATTTTTCCCTTAATAAATCACAATCAATTCTAAATGTAACGCAGCTTTTGCGGCTTCATGTCACGCCCATAGTTGCCCATAAATAGTCTGTGAAACGCCCACAAGTTAATATTCAACGATTGCGAAATCGTGGCAAACATAGAGGAAATCAAAAAAACGTAACTTCATTCAATGTGAAGTAGAAGTTATCTTTGGCTAGGTGGAAAAGAGGAGAAAAAATTTTGTTTGGAGGGCACAGTGTGGGCATTACTAATGCCAAAAAGGCACTTGAGTGGCAAAAGGTTGCAGACGCCGTAAATGGTGTAGCCTCACAACCTCGGACTGTGGCCGAAATAAAAAAGAAATGACAAGCTACAGATGTCGGTTATAATCTACTTGGAAATGGGAAATAGTTCAGCGCAAATGTAATTTCTTGCAGCTTTCTGAATGGTTGAGACATATGTCATACGTTATTTTATAAAAAAAATAAAAAAAATAAAGGCATATGCATGAAATACCTGCATGAATACCATGATTCCGTAGCTGATGAAGACATTTTTACTATGAAAATAACTTTCCCCAGTGGACAAATAATACATCTATCTATTTATCTATCTATCTCTCCCTAATTATCTATCTATCTGACTGACTATCTAGCTATATCTGCTCCGCCAGACGGACACATTGGCGAGAATATCAGTTTTGTACATTATTTCGTTCTGTTTGCTGTTATCTGTGCGGACACCCGCACAATCGAAGCGCGTGCACGCATAGAGAGAGAGAGAGAGAGGCGCGTTTCAGGCAGCGCTCAAACAATTAAATTGATCCCTCTTATGCGTTTACTTGCATTTGAAACATACATACAAAATTATGTTAAAATACCCCTCTCTGCAAGTATTATCTCGGTTATGTCATAAGTGAACAGTTGAGAAAGAAACTGGATGCGTGTCAGTATATTCGGTCCGTGCATTCGATCTTAAAGTGACGGCAGCCTAATATTCCTGCTGTTGTCTGTGTCATTTAAAGGTAATATAATAAAAAATACAGCTTTAACAAAGATGAATCTATATTTAATTTCTACAGTGAACAAATAGTGTTATTTTACATTTAAGCAGCTTGTAGGATAAGTGTGAGTATCAAGCAGCATCTCCAGGTGCTCCCTTGAGAACCAGACCAAAAAAGTTTTGCGCACCCCTTGATATATATATATATATTCAAATATATGCAAGTATATGCTACTGTTAAAAAATTTGGAGTCATTGTTATTTTTAAATGTTTTTGAAAGAAGTCTCTCATGCTCATCAATGCTGCATTTATTTGATCATATAGTAAAATACAGTAAAACAGTAATAGTTTTTATTTTTTATAGAATAGATTTGAAGGTAGTTGCATAGACTATGAAAATAGAACATTTTATACTGAAGATGAAGAAAGTTCAAATCAGAGTCACATGACCACAGGCCACGTGTTCATAGTTATGGATTACAGTGCTTTCTTGAGTAATTTACTCACAAATGCACAAATGCAGCTTAATCCAGGATTTTGTTCTGTTGTTTCTGTTGTGTATCAAATAAGACTCAACACTGTATTGTTCTATAAACATTTTTGCATGTCTTATGCAGTCTATGTAATGGCAGAGAGCAGATACTTTGAGCTCAGATCTCACTCATTTTGAGAAGCAGGGCTGACTTCTGATTGGTTATATAAACCTTCCTTTTAAATGGTTTTGTGTTACATTATGTGTATGGTGTGTGATATGCTCTCTTCTCTTCACTAGAGTTCATTTAATGTGGCCGTATTGAATGTCGGCGCTCCTGCAGCTGGCATGAATGCAGCCGTGCGTTCGGCCATCAGGGTCGGGATCACAGAAGGCCACACTATGTTTGCTGTTAGTGACGGATTCGAGGGCTTCTATAAGGGACAGGTAACGCAACACAAACTAACAGACCTTTATGTATGATTGGTGTTTCTTTAAAATGGACACTATGTTGATGATTTTAGGAACTTTTCAAAAGCTTTTTATGTAGATATTTCATTGTTTTAATTTTCTCACAGAGCCAGACTTTCAATTTTAAAATAGGAAAATAAATTTTAAAAACATTATAGAATTTTTGATAAAAGAAAGTTTGATAATCTAAACAAACTTTTCAAAATTTCAAAAGGTAAATTATTTATAGACAATTTTTTTTTACAAATATTACATTGTCGTGGCATCATTTTCATCACAACCAACCATTTTTGAAACGTAGTGTACAATGTTGCCAAAGTATTGGTAAAGATAATATATTATTATTAGTCTGTGCAACTGTCAGACTGCATATAGACGTGTGTATATGAATCAGTCCCTTGCCAAATGAGATAAACAATCATGATTACAGTAAGCCCATTATTCCTCCCACAATCCTCTGCTGGATTGTGCTCAGTGCCATATTTAACCTAGTGTAGCATTACAGATCCACTTTATACTGCTTGCCTCATTCAGAGGAAATGGTACTAATGCTGTGTGTATTCTAATTAAATGCAAGTTTGAGGAGTTTTCTTGTTTGTTTTTTGGCCAAGTATCCCTTAAACGTGATTGGATATGTTTCTCTGTGTAAGAAATGAATGCTTTATATCTAGGATGTATATTATGAGAAAGAAATACAACATGTTAAACTTCAGTATTGAGTCAGTTTATAAAGAGATAACAATTTAAAACTCGAGCAAAGGTCCATGATCCCATATTTACTTTGATTTGTTCTGCAGATAAAAGAAATCAAGTGGGGTGATGTTGGGGGCTGGACAGGCCAGGGCGGGTCCCTGCTAGGCACAAAAAGGTAAGATTACATTTCCAAGGGCCCGTTGTCAGTGAAAAGACTGATATGCCTTTATGCACGGAATAAGATGCTTTCTAATATCCTGAAATATATTTTTCAGAACTCTCCCAGCAAAACACATTGGTAAAATTGCAGAACAAATGAGCATTCACAACATAAATGCTTTACTGGTTATCGGAGGATTTGAGGTATGTAATGTAATATTTACAGTATTTGTCTACATTTATGTACAAATTTTGCTGTGTATTAATAAGTAAAATCACATTTTGATTCAATTACTTTCTTGCTATACATTATGATCATGTGCCGTTGTGTCTCTTTTTTGTCTCAATGGTGCAGTATAGGATTTCTGAGAAACGCTGTTGATATTTGAAATCACATAAACAAACACACTCCTACCCAAAAGGATCACACCCCTGCCCTATCTTGATAGCCCCACCCCCAAATTCACCAATACCCTATGCAACACAGGAATTTCCCCCCTAATGAGTGGACACGCCCCTTACTGCTGATTGGCTATACGTGTGTTTTGGTGCTCGGTCCGAAACAGCGCTTCGTTTCTCAGAATTCGCATACTGCACCTTTAAATGATGTCACTATGTTTTATAGTATTTATTACAAATTGTTAATTACAGACGAGAAACAGTAATTTACAGTGTTTTTTCTTTTGCTACCAGATATTAATTAGTTTGTAACAAAATAACATTTAATTTAATAACCGAGGCACAACATTTATTTGTTTTGAGATTATCTTGTTATTTTAACAATACATATCTTATAGTATAATAAATAAATTAAAATCATTACATCATACACCACAGTTCAACATTTTCGGGGTCAGTGAGATTTTTCAGTAGGAAAAAAATTTGAAGGCATAATTTATTTATAATATTTTTATTTATAATTTATTTATAATTATTTCTTAAAATCACTGTTTTTACTGTTTGTAAATCAAATATATGCAGCCTTGGTAAGTTGGTTAGCATGAGAGACTTCTCTCATAAACATAAAAAAATCTTACCAACCCCAAACTTTTGAACAAAAGATATGCAATAGTCAATGCAATAAATTACTGAAGATACTGAAATATTTACTCACGACAATCTGACAAAAAGGCTCGACAAAAGGCTCTTCATCAATATGTTTTTTCCCTGATCTTTATAATATCATATCGTAAAGACAGTAAGAGTTTCAATTGTTTTGTGTTTCATCCGTCATTTCACAATCCTACTGTAAAACTTCTACATAAATACTTCCAGTCTCTTCCTACCTTCATAATAAAAGTGGGCATGGCTCCCTTCCCCTTCTTAATATTACCCATAATTCTAGCCAGTGACCCGTAAGTCTCGCTCTGACCGCAGGCATATTTGGGGTTGATGGAGCTGCAAGCAGCTCGTTCCAAACACACAGAGCTTTGTGTTCCCATGGTGATGGTCCCGGCCACTGTGTCCAACAATATCCCCGGCTCAGATCTGAGCATCGGGGCAGACACGGCCCTCAACGCCATCACGGATGTAAGACGTCACACACTCGTGTCAAAGACAGTGTGTGTGTGTGTGTGTGGTAAGATACGCTGAAAGGTCATGGCTGATGATGACCAACCTCCCTGTCAGGAAACACACAGGTCATACTCGAAATACTTGAAGGATAAATTACATTTTGTGAATAATTTTGGATTTTAGATGCAAATGTAGACATTATGCAGAACATAGAAACTGCGATAGAGCTATATTTGGTGGAATAAGGTAGATTTATATGCATTAAGGTGAGGGAAAGCTATGTTTTGCACTAAAGGTTCTTTATACCGGAAAAAGATTTGTTACATTATTAAATGTTATTCACACTAAGTAAACAAAATAGTTTTTTTAAGAACTGTTTACTGAAATGATCTTTGGGGAACCAAAAATGTATCTTCTATATGGCATCACTGTGAAAACCTCCTTTTAAAACCTTAATTCTTAAGAGTGCATGACAAAATATGTAATCTAATACAGGGCCGTAACAACCATAAACATTTAAGGGGAAGAGATGTTGCCAAACTGTCCCCCTTATATTCTTGATGCTAATCTGTTGCACTTCATTATGTTTTAAAAGTTTTTAAAGTTACATTGTAGGCTGCTCTAACAGTGGTCTAACAGTGCTTATCAATGCTAAAAAGATTGAGATGGCCAATCAAATCAAAGAATGCAGGCCTTGCTGTTCATAGGAGCCCAACGCTTCAGTTTGAACCGTGCAAGTGTGTAAGTAGCTAAGCAGAACTGTTTTATGATAGAAATGTTAAAATGACCTATCGCTGTGTGTGATGATGGGCTGAGGTTGGTGGTCACTGCGGCCTGACTGAATCAGTGTGTCTGGAGACGAACGCATGTGGTAACACAGCACAACCTGTCACCCAGTCCTGCATCTGACTGTATGACTGTGTGTTTGTACCTGTGGTGTGTGTTTATATTGCAGGCCTGGTCCAACAAAGTAGCACAATCATAATGAGATCCAAATTGCAACATTTTTTGATTATAAGGCATGTTCTGCCAAAAATGATCTAAAAGTTTTCCATTCTGTTTCATTAATAAATATACCTTTATTTATATACACTGTGAGATGAAGATTAATATACTTATTAATCTTGTACCTTTGAGCTCAGTTCTACTGTTTTTAAAAAATGAATAAAAATAATAATAATATAAATACTTCTGGACAATTGAATTAATTTCCTGAGACTAAGTATTAGGAATTGAGTTCAAAAGCATTTGTGAATAACATCACTAACAAATAAAACCATTTGGTGGACAAAAATCAATACAGAATTTTTAATTAATTTTAATGGGTAAACTTTAATTTATATCCTATTTATGTTGTGAAATAAGCTTTTATTTTGTGTTTCAGCAATAACAAATAATTACATGCTCTAAAAATACTCTTAATCACTGATGCTAATGGATTAATGAAATATTTCTTATAAGTTAAAATTGATCGATTATGGACACCATTCCCTTCTAACATCAGAACATTTTGCTAATGTTCCCATTTAGTTAAGAAAACATTATTTCTGAATGTTCTCTGAACTTAATCAAAATGTTAATGTAATATATTTTTTTCTTGGTTATGCCAATGGTAAGAAAACATTCCATTTTATCATTCTTCAAACGTTACTTTTGAATGTTCTCCGAAAATTCTGAAACAAGTAGTAACATTTAAAAAATGTTAGACCAACATCCAACTAAAATGTTGTAAAAGAAATATTAAATGAATGACATATATGCTTTTGTGCTAACGTTTTGATAACATGATTAAAGACCACACTACTTTGAGCAAATATTCTATTAACGTTACTGGAAGAACATTGTCAGAACGTTAGCTAAAGTTCTCAGTCTTTGTTAGCTGGGTTTTGTGACACACTGCCAATTTCACATGCATACATTTTTCAGTTTAAATTCATACTGCATATGCTGTCCTTAGAGATTAAGTTGTACAAATCAAATGTAAGTGCAACTAACTGCATGCTGTTTTGGGCCTGGCCTGATGTCTTGTGTGTTTCTGTCTGCATGTGTGTGTTATGTCGTGCTGTTTAAGGTCTGGTTGTGCTGCTGTTTTAGTCTGGTTGTGCAGTCGGTCACACTTTGGTTATTGTGAGGTTTCCTGCTTTCTAAATAACTTGCCTCAGTCACCATTTAGCCAATGCCATGCCCACGTCACGAGGATCTGGTGGTCAACTTTCGACCTAGTCGTCTTGAGTAGACAGGAACCACTTTTTCCCTCTCAAAACAGTCAGAAAGGACGTCCTGTTTAGTGTACACTAGTAAGAGAGTAAGTGAGCAATCGTCCTAATGCATGTGCACTGCTGCAGGCCTTTGAGAGTTTGCTGCAGCTGGTGGATGCCCGCAGCAGTTATGAGGAGTTCTGTGTGCCCATGTGCATGCTGCCCGCCACCATCAGTAATAATGTAGCCGGCACTGACTTCAGCATTGGCGCTGACACTTCCCTCAATGCCATAGTGGAGGTAAGACACACCATCCTCGCCCGGAAAGCCAGATGTTACCATGTCGATTAGTACAGCGGAAATAACAAGATTTTGTCTGACTGTATCTTTAAAGGTCATTCTAGGTAATGTAAGATTGAGAAAACAAAACAAATCACAACATTATTGGATTTTATACTGACACCTGTTTTTGGTTATCAGTACCATTGTAGAACTTCCCCTTTCACATGCATGATTCATTTACTCCAAGAGGAAGTGTACAATAATGGGGGTTTACCAAGATAACAGGTGTGTTTGACTTCATGGCGCTGCGCTGACCGATCGGCATCTGACTTGAAGCACTGCATGCGGAATTGCGGATTAGAAATTTTGACCGACTTGAGAGAGAGTCATTGTGACACATGGCATCAAAGTACCGCGAGAGTGATTCGAAAGCAGCATGTCCAGAGCGGCTGCATAAGCTCTGATGATGATGACACAAACCCGCCTCCCCTCACTCACTCGTTTCATTTGCTCTGGATGAATATTGTTGCTGTTACAGGGTTTGAATCTCAGCGTGGGATTACGCGTATTGCACATAATTTCACTCATTCCCACAGATTTTGTGATTAGATTAAATTGAGTTCTTTTTCGCTGCTTATTGCGCTTAAACGGTCAAATACACACAAAATAATGTCAAAATGCCGGTCTTGGCGAGTATTCATGTAAACACAGTCAGTTATGTTTTACAGTAAGATAACGTAAACAGAAGGAAAACACATCTGTAAAAAAATAATGGATCCGTATGTCAGTTCTCAAAATGACAGCAAATGATTATTATCAAATTATTAGATAATATTAAAAATATCTAGATGGCAGTATTTACCCATGGTATCTATCAAAAATATGTTTAGCAACTTTGGAAAACCTCTAGTTAATTTCAAGCCCTTAATGTAACCTTAATGCTATATTGTGTCATGTTTATCAAAATAACATAGATACAAATATATAGACTCACTTTATTGTTATTTAAATAGTATAGGCTTATGTTGAACTTTATTCTTGCACAGATGGCGCTGTATTAAGCAGTACATCAAAAGTGTTTCTGTTGCTTCATGAAGTAAGAGGCAACTCTCGCCGGTCGGTCTGCGCAGCGCCACATGAAGTCGAACACACCTAAAGTGAGTATAGGTTTATGATTATGCCTGGGAGATATAAGACATATATTTTTTATATATTTTATACGAATATAATTGCATGCGAGTTAGAAGAAATAAATATTTTGTAAATTTTCACAATTCTTTATACAAATATAATTTTTCAAGTGGAAAAAACTATTTAGTGCCCTTTTGCAATTTTACGATCATATCTGGAAGTCACGAGAAACGCATACAGAATGTTTTTCCAGGTTTCATTTAATTGTTTAGATATCTGCCCGCTTTAGATGTGAGATACATTATCTGTGGTTATGTAACATATCGAACTGTGTCTGTCCACTACAGGAACAGATTTATATGCTGATCTGAAAGTTTGAATATTTTCCCAAGTTGCATGGTAAACATGGATCCTCACAAAAAGCACTTATTTTATGAGTTGGAACCACATGCATGTTCTCTATATTGTTGTTGTGAACTATATTGTGTCTCGTGCTTGCATGCGATGTCTTGCACACAGGTCCTAAATTAACACTCAACAAGTGCCAACTGTGAGTATAAAATTGGTTGTAAGTGCAACATTATACATGGACAAAGTGTATGGAGAACATGTATAATTTAAAAACTTAACTCTAATAAAGTACTAAATAATTTAATAGTAATAGGCACAATTTTTTTTTTTTTTATGAAAAATAATGCACAGAACAATTTTATGATGTTATTTAAAAATATATGTTATTCATATATTATATAATATTATTAAATAAATGAATAAATGTTAATTTTGGACCATGCTTCAGTACTTCAGTGTTATACTTGAATGCATCTTTAATATCCCGTATGTCTGAGTTTGTCCGTCAATGAAGTGTGTGTGCATGAGTAACGGATAGGTTTCATTCTTAAACCATTACAATGTGTGTGTTAGACGTGTGATCGTATAAAGCAGTCCGCCAGCGGGACCAAGCGCCGCGTGTTCATCATTGAGACGATGGGCGGTTACTGTGGTTATCTGGCGACGGTGGGGGGGCTGGCGGCCGGAGCCGATGCAGCCTACATCTATGAAGAGCCGTTTGACATCCGAGACCTACAGGTGAGAGACATGCACTTCTGTCCATATTCACACTGCAATGTATTATCTGAATATAATATTTCAGATATACACCTATGTTACACCTGCAGTGTAACTGTATGGAATAGATAAGGTGATTACAGTGTTCTCTCCTTCCCCGTCCTCTGTCTGCTCTGTCCCATGCGCAGGGTAGAATATTTAGCAGTGTGTACTATTTAAAGAAACAGAGAGAGAGAGAGCGTCATGCTGAGTTTTATGAGTGCTCTATTTTTCAGTCTAACGTCGAACATTTAACTGAGAAGATGAAGACTAGCATCCAGAGAGGTTTAGTGCTCAGGTATGATCTATATATCGTACATACAGCATTTACACTACACTGATTTCATTCAGCTGTATCATCTAGATCTGAATGTGTAGAAGGAGTGAGGTGTGATTGCATGTGTGTGTGTGTTTTACAGGAATGAGAACTGCAGTGAGAACTACACAACTGACTTCATCTACCAGCTGTACACTGAAGAGGGCAAAGGAGTCTTTGACTGCAGGAAGAACGTCCTGGGACACATGCAGCAGGTACACACACACACACACACACAAGAAAACAACTGAACATGATCAGAATATTGTTCATTTGCCACGTTATGACGTCCTGTAGGGTGGTGCTCCTTCGCCGTTCGACAGGAACTTTGGCACCAAGATCGCTGCTAAAGCCATGCAGTGGATCTCCAAGAAGCTCAAAGAGTTTTACAGAGAAGGTACAGAAAAATCACTCCTATAAAGATGCAGTCTGGGATTGTGTAAACTCAGACTCTAGAACTCAGACTCAGAATATATTCACACCGCTGCTGGAAATGACATTCTGATAGTCTCAGATCTCAATTCTGTATAATTACATAAATGTATCTGGTGCAGAAATATCTTGATTAACTAAGAGGATAATGTCATTTTAATGCACAATTACAATTAGTTTAGTAAATTAACACCAGTGCCATGTGTTTGTCATACTTATGGGTTGCACAGATTTTGGATGTAAAATGTAATATAATATTCAATATAAAACAATAAAATAAAATAAATTATTATAATAAAGATATTATTTTAAAAAAACTGTAATTAATAATGAATTAATAATGAGTTGTAAAAATAATACATTACTATTAATAAAATAATTAATGTAGCTTTTTTAATTTGAAACTATAAAATATTATAATAAAATGTTATAAATATAAATTACATATACTTTTTTATTATTCAAATGCATCAGTTATATATGTATATATATATATATTAGGGCTGTCAGTTAAACGCGCCATTAACGGCGTTAACGCAAACCCATTTTAACGGCGTTAATTTTTTTATCGCTCGATTAACGTTTTTTTTTGTCTAGCAAACTTTGTAGTTTTTTTCACATGCTTTTTTTGGGCGCTCTGAAACCCATATGTTGTTCATTTTTCATTTTACAAATGTAGTTAAAGGGATAGCCTCATGTCATTTCAAACTCGTAAGACTTTCGTTCATCTTCGGAACACAAATGAAGATATTTTTAATGAAATCTGAGAGCCTATTGTCCCTCCATTGACAGCTACACAACTTTGATGCTTCAAAAAGTTCATAAAGAGATTGTAAAACACCGTTGCTTTATATGATGAACAGATTGAATTTTGGCTTTAATTCACATATAAACATTCATCAACTTACACATCAGGCCAGTTGCACCAACAGGGCTTACGCCTGGTCTTAAGGTAAGTAGGTCTTAACTCAACATTCTAAGTCCGACCTAATAGTTACGACCGTTGCACCATCCAGGCTTAAGTCCTCTTCTCGCTAAGACCAGGCGTAAATCTTACGCCTAGTCAGTAGCAGGCGTAAAGTCAAAATCTAGGCAAGTTTCTATAGTAACCACTTCATAACTCAGCAGTAAAGACATGGCGCGCCTTATACACAGACTTTACAATGAGCGGGCTATTAGACGGGAGAGAGTAATTAGGGACAGAAACAATCCATTGGACATTTACAATGATGAGGAGCTGATTGAGAGGTTTCGATTCTGTCGGAGAGATATATATGAACTTGTAGAAGAGCTGTCACCCGACTTAGTTAGTTATTGCGTTTGATTGCTTGGCAGTCAGTGTGTGTCTGTGCTGACTGTACAACTCTATTAGTTTTCGTATCTCTATGTCGGTGAAATTTCCTTTCCTTTTTCTTTGATCCTCCATTGATACGGCTACAAGTTAACCAAAAAGCGGAAGATTGTTTACAACGTAACCCCAGCAACGCACGTTGCTAGGCAACCGCTATAGTTCCGTGGCCATTCACAGGAACGCGCATCGCTAAAACCAGGCGTAGTTATGCCTAGGCTTAAGTTTGGTTGGTGCAACAGACGTTAGGTCAACTCTAAAGACTGGTCTTAACTAAGACCTACTTAGCAGTTAGGACCAGGCTTAGTAAAGCCCTGTTGGTGCAACTGGCTCCAGTTGTGGTAAACAGAAGCTCAAGCATGTTCGCTTGACGTGCGAGAACCAATAGCCGTGTTTCCACTGTCGGGCCAGAAGCTCTGCAGCGCTTCACTAAAACCTGCCCGCAACACGGAACAACGTCACACAAACCCATCATTTCACCAACAAATGGAAGTTTTATCAGAAAACTAATCAGAAAGAAATCACTGGAAACAGCGTGGTGGTCGCAAAACAAACATGATAAAAGCGTTTGCTGGCATTTTTGTTGTTTACTTGAATATTTAAAACCCAAGCATCGATGTTTTACCACAGGTTTACAACAAAAAGTGATACATTGATCACAATAAATTAATTTGTGTCAAAATTGCACATTAGCCACACGGAAATAAAGTGGTTTAAGTGGTCTATTTCACAAAAGAAAGAGGACAGACTGACTTATTCAGTCACGTCTGTTTCTGTTTATTTGGTAGTTACAGGACATATTTACATCACATTCAGAAAGAATGATCATTTCTACAAATATGCCACCATAAATACAACCTGAGGAGCTTTAGCACTCTCTCCCAGTAGGCTAGTTATATTTTCAGTCAGAAAATCAGACCAGAGCATCAAAGTTGTAGTTGCATAGACTGTCAATGGAGGGACAGAAATCTGAGATTTTATCAAAATGATCTTCATTTGTGTTCTGAAGATGAACCAAAGTCTTACGGGTTTGAAACGACATGAGGTTGTGTAATTAATGACAGAATTTTCATTTTTGGGTGAACATATACCCTTTAACTAATGTTAACAAATTAAAACTAGTGTTACAGAATCTATTATATACAAATATAATATTGTTCAGTCCTGACCGTATAGCTTTTCATGATGTCATAGTGTTGAATTATTTTCTTTTGCTCTTTTTTGCTTTCCTTGGTTGGCTCAGATGAAGGTAAATGATTTGCATATCAAAAATACATTGTTTTAATTCACTCCAAAGTGCGATGTTATTATGCTTGTAACTTTCGCTGGTGATTTTGAACTGCTTGTGAACTGTGTGCAATACCATGTTTTTGTGTATTCGGCAGGACGTGTGTTTGCGAACACAGAGGATTCTGCGTGTCTGTTGGGGATGCGGCGCAGAGCTCTGGTTTTCCAGCCCGTCGTACAACTGAAGGATGAGACTGATTTCGTGTAAGACAACAAACACACTTAACAAAGCTCATTCTAATATCCTAGTAATGATGTCATAATATTGTTTCCAAGGCAACTTTTAAAGGATTTTATTATGTTGCATTTTACATTTTCCTCAGAAGTCCATGTGTAATGTTAAGGTTCTTGCTCCAAAAAAAAAAAAATCATAATTTAGTCTGACTTGACATTATCTCGCTGACCTTTAGAATTAAAAAGGCTGTTTGATACTGTGGCTTTAAGACTTCTAAATACTGAACAGCAATGCACATGTAAATAGGGTGATGATATGTTAATGTTATGTTTTCTGCTTAATTTGAATAAATGATCTGGGGGGACTTTAGAGTAGTGATGGGGAAAACTAAGCCAGTTTTAAACCAGTTTCTTCACAAAATGATTCACTGTTTCATTAACTAAGAATAGCATGTGTTGTTTAATGTTTGATGATAGCGTTATTTTACATGTGCGTTAGTAATCTTCTTTCACTTGTTTCTGCTCCTTGTTTTTGGATACGAGATTCTGTACTCTTTCAGAAGAGACGTAATAGCACCCAATACCACATAATAGTTAAAACATTGATTGCTGGTAAATTCCATCAATGGCGTGGAAAGAGTTCATTCTTTTTAAAGGGGTCATGACATGGATTTTTATTATCTATTAACATTTTAACCTGTTAACTGTCACCCCCCTTTTTTTTGCATAGACATAAAAATCACTATCCAAACTTAAATGGTTGTAATTCAGGAATGCTTTGGAATATAGACCTATGGCTGGTCTTGTTTTAAAGAAGACATTTTCCAGATTATTGTAGAAGTCTAGAAATTATAAAAAATGAAACAGAAAAAAGTTATATAAGTTTGAGTTTATGAAATTGTGTAATGTAAAAATATAATTATTAATATTTTATATAAAATATATATATTACAAAATATATTTAACTCTAAAACTGCAAGAAAATTAAAGACAAAAATCTGAACAAGTTGTATTCCAAATTTTAGGTTGATATCTCAAAAAATGAGCTTTCAGTAAGATTTTATTCGGGCGCAGTACCCAACTTTTTCACTAGGTGAACACCAGACTCCATTACTGCCCATATAAGGGCGCCTCCATTTTCATATATGTTTTGAGTGATCTGAACCATGTATTTCCATAATTTTCATACAAATTATGAAGTAGACATCCTATTCAGAAGTAGTATGGGTGGTTTGTCAGTATTTGATTTGAATTCAACCTCTAATAAATGCATAAAAAGACTACGTTATAGCGTTATAGCTCGCAGCCGCATCACAAATCGAGAATCCATACATTTTTCTTTATATTTAAAACATTTTCAGATTTTTTTCTCATAAAATGGAATTGTTGTTATCTTTTGAACTCATGGCATGAAAACAAACTGAGGTTTCTACCAATCTTTCATGATTTTTCATGTTTATTGTTATTTCAAAATAAAGGCCTAAATACTCCTAATGAATTTGAAATATTCTTGTTGCAAATTGATAAATTACTGCTCCTCTGTAATTTATTTTAGATAACAGCCACCAAATATGAAAACTAGAGATTTTAAGCTTTCAAATTATATATAGTTTGGCAATATTACTTTAGGTTTTTACTAAGATATTATTGTTTTAAACATGCAATGGCAAATGGGCCCCCCGCCGGCCCATGAAAGAGTTCTGTATCTCCTGATCAAAACATCCGAAAAAGAAGCAGAAACAAGCGGTATCATATGTAAGCAGAATCAGATGCATATGTAAAATAACGCGATCAACATTAAACAGCATATAAATCAAAACTGCCTAATGTTACTGAATGAAATGCTCAAAATGTTGCTTTTTTATTAACTTACCCACATTCAAGTGTTGATTTAAAAAAAATACATGAAGCTAGAATAAAACATTCTTAGTTTAAATTTTTTTTTTTTTTAAGCAGAGGTTCTGTTCTTCTGCTATATTGCATATTCATACAACAAAATATTCTGGTGGCCATGAAACTTTCGTGAAAAAAAAAAAACGCTGGCACTGACTGGCAATTTTCTTCAAAAACGCTGGCGGGGAAAGAGTTAAAGTGGCGGCTCCTTTAAGGCTTGTCAGTAAACAGCCACTGTTATGATTGACTAACAGAATTGCACAAGAAACAGAATCGATGACCACTCGATATTGAGTGCTTTGAAAACATTCTCCATATAAAACCCGACTTTTAAACCATGCTTTGTTTATACGGAGGACGTTTATAGACTGAAACTTGCAGGATGTTTAATGGTACAAAGACCTTTTATATGTCAAAAGATCAAGGCAACTTTGATTTCTCATGGCATGACTCATTTAACTCAAAAGAGCAAGGAGAAAATGATCCTGTTTTACATGATATGCTCCCTTTAACATTTCAAAATGATAAGAGACTTGGCTTTTGACCCGCTACTTTTCATTTCCAGTCACAGGATCCCGAAGGAACAGTGGTGGCTCAGACTGCGTCCACTCATGAAGATTCTGGCCAAGTACAAAACCAGCTACGACGTGTCCGATGCGGGCCAGCTTGAACACATCGTCCGTCCGAGAGCTAAAGACAGCTCTGCTATTTAAAATCAGCCCAAGTAAAACCTAGTTGTCTTGCGAGTATAAATGTGATTCCATAGCAGATCTGTAGCAATCTGTCTTGACCCGAACACATTATCATACAGTCCATGTAAAGCAGTTCACATTAAAGCGTGACCATCTACATACAGCACAAAATCCTTAAATGTTTTAGATCAGTGTTTGACAATCCATATGCTCAAGCGGTTAGCTTATCCCTTAAATGGGGCCAAGTGGTATATTTTGTTAATATGCAAGATTTCCATATTTATATTTATTCTAATAGAGCTTATTTTCATTGATTAAATGAACGATCCTGCTCCACTGGCTTGTAGTGACGTATCCCACAACTGCACCTTGTTTTAGTTGAAATGGAGTCTGAATGAAGTCTTCCTAATGAAGCTGCTATGCTATGGCACTTTGTACCAAAGCAGATATTGTGTCAGTGTTTTTGTCACGACGTATATGTGTATATGCTACTAGCCCTGCATAAACTCCCTTTAGAATGTAAAAGGTGTGGCTTGTCATTGAATTTATTTGAGCAGTTGTTCACAATCCATATTAAAACATTTAACCCTCTGGTGCTGTGTGGTGGTCAAAATGACTGACTAAAATATACTATATTTTAGTTTGAAAATGTTCTTTAATATTTTTGTATTTTATGGTACTAAATTACATTTCTGCAATAGTTATGATCCATTCATGTTGGCCACCTAAAAAATAAATTTCCAAATTAAACTCTCATAATTCTTGAATGCTTTGGAGTACAGACATAAATTTGTTCTCTATTTAAAGACACTTGGCAGATTATTGCTGAAGTGAAAAAAGTTAAACTAAAAAGTTATAGAAGTCTATTTGGGAAAAATGCATAAAAATACTTATATTTCGTATCAAATTTAAAAATATTTATATCTTCAAAAACATGTTTTACTTCAAAACATTAAAAAAACTATAAAATCAAATCCATAAATCTAAAGTTGTGTTCCAAATTATTGCTTGATATCTCAAAAAATGTAGCTTTCAGTAAGATTTGTTTTGGATTTGGACGCAGTACCAAAAGTTTCCACTAGATAAAATTCTCCTCCCATTCATTTACACTTCGGCCATTTATGACCTTGAACAATACGTGTGACTATTATTTTCAGGACCATTTAACCTTTTACCAAGTTTCGTACCATAACTATGAAAAAAGAAAAAACGTAAAAAAAAATGGATAAGGCTTTAATATATATATATATACACACTACCGTTCAAAAGTTTGGGGTCAGTGAGAATTTTATTTTTTGGAGGAAAGAAATCAATACTTTTAATTATCAAGGACAGTAAAGACATTTATAATGTTACAAAAGATTCTATTTCAAACAAATGCTGTTCTTTTGAACTTCCTATTCATCAAAGAATCAAAAAAAAAAAAAAAAAAAAACTGTACAACTGACAGACCAACAACTGTTTCAATATTGATAATAATAATAAATGTTTCTTGAGCATCAAATCCTCATATTATACTGATTTGTGAAGGATCATTTGACACTGAAGACACTGACACTGGTGATGCTGAAAATTCAGCTTTGATCACAGGAATAAATTACACTTTACTATATATTCACACAGAAAACAGCTGATTTACACTGGAATAATATTTAATACTAACTGATTTTTGTTGTATTTTTAATCAATTAAGCGCAGCCATGGTTAGCAGAAGAGAATTCTTTTAAAAGTATTTAAAATCGTACCGACCCCAAACTTTTGAACGGTAGTGTATATATTTAAAAAAACAGGATTCAAATTTTTGTAACTCTTTTTTAATAGAAAAGGTTTTCCATTAAACATGGTCACATTTATTATAATTCTATACATCTCATAAATAATCATTTTCTATTTTATAAGTCTCAGACTCAAACTACACTTATTATATGAGCTGTTTTTGACCTTGTTATAAAAACATGGAGTCCACCATAAACAATCTGCAGTGTAAACAAAAGTAGATTTGCTGGCCTAATAAGAGGTACTTTAATTCGGGTACTTTCAGCACTTCACTGTTTAGGAGCACTTCAGTTCATCAAGATGACTCCTGTAATAAGGAAAACACTGTCGATTTGTGCGTGATCCAGGAGTGTGTGTCTTTCACAATCCTAATAATAAGAACAGAGGGAAAAATGTCTATTTGACCACCCAGGACGGGTCTTTTCTGATGCTTTCATTTTCCGGGCCTAAAATAGCCACTCCACATGTCTGCTGGCCGATACCTAGATACCTGTAAAAAATCAATAAAAATATGTTAAAAATAGGTAAATATGATATTATACAAATAAAAATATCACACCAGCACTCAAGCATAAATATTATTTTTAATAAGTTAATTTATTATTTCAAATTAAATGATGTCCAGCCTAAGATAATCGACATCCTCACTTTTTATGTTTTTTTTTTTCTCTGTAATTTGCCTTTTTTGCCAAATACTTTTGTCAGATAAATACCTTAGCCAAGTTTAGTGTTTTTCCAGGGTTCCCACACCTTGGTGAACTTTAAATTCAAGGACCTTTCAAGGACTTTCCAGGTCCAATACCCTCAAATTCAAGGACTTAATGTGGTGACACATTTGTTGTGTCCAACAACAAACGTTGAGGTATCGTAGTAGTTTCGTGCGCATGTGAACGTCATGGCAACATACAACACGAAGTACCTCACGCGGGAAACACTTAACGCAACGGGTAATGCGCGTAACTAACGTAAATCAAGCAAGATAGTATGCATGATAGGCCATGAAGTGTTGGCAAAATATTAATATAAATATTTATATTATTTTTATAAAATACAAATAATATGGATTTTTTTCCAGAAAACTCCTTGCACAAAATACATTCAAGCACTTTCAAGGACCTGTATCTATATATTTCCAGGGCCTTGATTTTTTTTTTTTTTTTCAGATTCACAAACTGTCAAGGATTTCAAGGACCCTTTGGAACCCTGTTTTTCCCTTGTATTTGAAATGTATTTTGCTGGGTGATAAAAACAAACATCCCCCCTGACATCACTTTTGGACACTACTGTACATTAATGTCTCATTACCTGCCAGCGACGTCAATTAGGTTTTTGTCGGTCACAGCGAACAGTCTCTCTCTGTATCTTTGCTTCATTTCGTCTGTAATGCCGTTTAAAAAACGCCCCAAACCTGCAGCACAATTACAAGGTCCTTGTGAACCAGAAAACAAATATCCAAAAACACAAACTCAAACACAAAAACATTCCTACACACCTGAACATTCACACCATATATCCACAGATTCAAGAATGTAAATTAAATCCAACTACAGCAAAATTACACAGAAAGAAACTAAAACATCCTTCAGCATCAAAAGACCATTCAGGATGTGCTCTAATGACTGACCCTTATCTGAGGGAGCAACAGGTGCATCAACGGCAGAGAAAACTGAGAGCTTGGCCTCGTCGATATCCTGCTGGGTAAACCTTCCCGCTCGTGCCCACTCTACTCCGCCACGGAAAGCCGACAACGTCTGGGTGGAGTTTGGATCTCTGAGAGATTGCCAAGACAACCAGATAATAGAACAGAACTCAACTTGGCACATTATATATATGTAGATAGATAGAAGGATAGATAGATAGATATAAACACACACAGGTATATATAAAGAATACACACTAAACAGAACATTGTGTCAGATCTAATGAAATGCATCATACACACCTATAGGAATAAAATGAGAACAGGCCGCCTCCTCCCATTCTGGCCCCGCCTCCATAAGCCCCGCCCTTTTCTCGGATCTCTCCATGGAGGAACTTAGCAGTCATCAACCTTCCTAAAATACACAGACTGAGAGAGACAGACAGATGGCAAAATGTAAATGAGTGCATGATCAATCAAAATAAAACTGTAATAGCGATTTGACAGTCTAATTATAAAATCACAAATGCCGCCATTTAATTAAATGCAAAAGCTTGATGGATTATCATTTGAAAATTAACAAATGTAGACAGCCATACAGTGCTTAGCTTAAGTGAACACACCCATGCTAAAGTTGACTAAAAAGAGGAATAAAAAAAATCATAATGCCTTAAAAAAAATGAGCAAAACTCCAACCTTTAAGGACACCAGTTTTCTTTGTGAATGAATAATGTATCGTAAATAAATAAATGTTCTTCCTTAAAATACAGGGTGCATAAGTCAGGACACCCCCTATGCTAAATACCCATAGAGGCAGGCAGATTTTTATTTTTAAAGGCCAGTTATTTCATGGATCCAGGATACTATGCATCCTGATAAAGTTGGAATTAAAATAGCCCCACATCACATCCTGTATCCTTCACCATACCTAGAGATTGGCATGGGGTACTTTCCATAAGATCATCTCTCAATGCAAATCCAACCAGCTATTAGGCTAACTGAAATAAAACCATGGCAATCTCTAGGTATGGTGAAGGGTGTGTTTTAATTAGTGCAGTTCTGAGTGAGCAAAATGACCATCTTTTTACAGAAGTGCATGAGTGTGTTTGTTGTACCTGGCGTAATCGGCATGTGTGAACGGGACCGTGCGCACACACTCACTGAGAAAGTTCACAGTAAACGGAAGCTGGAAGTACGTCTTCATCTGACAGGGTTTAAAATGAGGCTCCTGGTAGGATGAAGGGGAGATCAGTGAGAATGCAACCGATGGATGACATGTGAATGTTGCTGTTATGTTGTAAAAATGCACTTACTGAGATGAGTTTACGACTCACAGCTGATCCAGCACTAGGATCTAATGCTCTCTATAGGGGATAAACAAACCAATCAAAACGGTCAGATTTACTCATCTAAACACAACAAATTCATGATATCAGATTCGTGAATGAATTGTTCTTTTGAGCCAAATCCTTTTTTGATCTAGTTTTGGGAGGATAAAAACCCTATTATTTATTAAAAATGCTCATCCCTCTGTCTTTGCAATATACAAGATTTCAAGGATAGCTAAAACCCTTCACCTTTAACTCGTTCACTGGGTGTTTAAAGCACTATATTCTCTATAAAGCTGCTATAGAAAAATCTTTTTTTTAAAAACATTTTTGGATTATCCAAAGTGTACATTAATCAGTTCACATATTCCCTGGGAATTGAACCCACAACATTGATGTTGCTAGCGCAACACTCTACTATATTACATCTATGCATATGGCAGACGCTTTTACCTAAAGTGACTTGCATTTAAAGCACATTTTTATCAGTTCATGAATTTCCTGGGATTTGAAGCCATGACCATTTCTAGTGCCATGCTCCACCATTAGAGCTACAGGAATATTAAGCTTATTTAATTGTGAAATACTGTCTTCTATAAAAAAAAAAAAAAAAAGAATGGCTTCTCACCTCCACAATGGTTGGTCTGACAGGTTTGCGCTCCTTCCTGTTTGCTGCTATATTCCCCATAAACCTCTCCACTTCAACAGCTGCATCGGACATTTTCTGGGGAGTGGCGTTCACGGCACACCTGAAATGATGACATCATAATCACGTTTAAATT